TGCAGTGGTGGGAACACAGCTCATTGCAGCTTCAACCTCCCCGGCTGGGACCACAGGTACATGCCACACTTTTTTTTTTTTTTTTTTTTTTTTGAGACGGAGTCTCATTTCTATCGCCCAGGCTTGAGTGCAGTGGCATGATCTCGGCTCACTGCAACCTCCACCTCCCAGGCTCACGCGATTTTTGTGCCTAAGCCTCCCAAGTAGCTGGGATTACAGGTGCATGCCACCACACCTAGCTAAATTTTGTACTTCTAGTAGAGGTAGGGTTTCACCATGTTGGCTAAGCCGCCCACCTTGGCCTCCCAAAGTGCTGGGATTACAGGTGTGAGCCACTGCACCCAATGTTTTAAAATTTTGGTAGAGACAAAATGTTGTTGCTACCCAGGCTAGTCTCAACTCCTGGGCTCAAGTGACCCTCCCACTTCAGCCTCCCAAAGTGCTGGGATTACAGGAATAAGCCACTGCACCTGGCCTGAAATGCACATCTAGGGCCCCACCTGGACCTACTGAGCTAGAATCCATATGCTGACCAATGATAAAGTTCAATTTATAAATTAAGCACACGAGATTATTATACTGTACTGAAACTGTATAAGGCAAAACCATAGATAAGGGAGGATTCCTGTGTGTGTGTGTGTGTATATATATATATTTTTATCTTTTTAATCTGTATGTGTGTGTACATATATATTTCCCCCCCCCCAAGTTATAAAGGATGTGGTTCTAGCCATCTCAGACTGACAGGTTTGCGCACCCCTGCTCACAAGGATGGGGATTTGCCTTGTTTCCTCCTCAAGCGCACAATGAACAGGATGGGTCAACTTTCCCTCAAAGTCTGGAAAATCAAAAACAAAATTCAAGCACAACAAGCCTAGGTTCCCCCCCACCTATTTTTTTTCTTTTTTTTTAGATAGAGTCTTGCACTGTCACCCAGGCCAGAGTGTAATGGCACAATCTTGGCTCACTGCAACCTCCACCTCCTAGTTTCAACCGATTCTCCTGCCTCAGCCTCTCAAGTAGCTGGGATTACAGATGCCTGCCACCACGCCTGGCTAATTTTTTGTATTTTTAGTAGAGACAGGGTTCACCATGTTGGCCAGGCTGGTCTCGAACTCCTGACCTCG